AAGAATGTCTGGGCCTTCTCTGCACTGGTAACAACCATGCACACACTGATGAACTATTGGTGATAACACTCTGTCAAGATGTTAAGGAAGTCAAATGGTCTCGTCAGAGCTGAATGTCAGAGAGTTAGAGAATCTTGATAAAGCAGAACATTTTGGTGAATCTATTCCTCAAGTTGAAAAAGGATATGTTAGACTTCAGGTTCTGCACATTCCCGAATGCTGTTCTTTTCACTTGCTATATTCTCCATGTTGTAATACTGTTTATTATTTAGATTATTATCAGATGTTGGTTCTATTTGTTCATTCCCCAAACGTTGCAAACACCAACTAAAGAAAAGCAAAGACAGCGTCCAAATCCACATTGAATCTTACACAGTCCACTACCGACTTGGTGATACAAAAACCATAGCACTGTATTAAGTTATTTAAATACACGTTAACGCAGTCAAAAACATATACCCATCCACGTTTCCGGACTCCCCGGTCTTACTGGCGTAAAGCCATTTAGCTGTGCTCCACAGGCCCCTGTAACCTGCTTCACTGTATTCATCTCTGTCATAAACAATAACAAACATAACCTTTGAATACATCAAAAACATCTATATATACAAAACTATGGAAAGTCGGTGGTTTTAATTGAAATAGAATTCAAAGAATATACTGAATGTCTTGCCAACATTACCCTTTTACCCAGTGGCTGGGAAAATGGCTCTTACAGAGAGAGGTCCAACAGTAAATACAGGTGTGTACGGAATAGATCAACATTGTAATAAATAGATGGATTTAAATTCCACTTGAGGAATGTACAGCCAGCCCTCGCAGGACTATAAGTACCTGGTTTATTAGATGTATTGAAACAAAAACTGAACCAACCAGAAGGATAATGGTAACAAGTGCAAGGCGTGCGAGTAATCAAAGTTACGGCGAGACATCAGTATCGTCCGCTGTTAGCCGTTTACCACCATGGGCACATCGGCAGATAAGGTGACATGCGCTGATGGCAGTCGCCAATGTTTCTGTTTTGCTCGGTGACTTCTCCTCCTATCCCCTCTGTGAGGAGCTGCTGCTGCGGGGATGTGGGCATGCTGCTGTTTCTGCAGACAGATGGATTATTTGTGCTGTGTTTTTGTGTATTTCAGTGCTTTGTCCTGATCATGACCTCGGGCCAGATGTGGAACCACATCAGAGGTCCGCCTTATGCACACAAGAACCCCAGCACAGGGCAAGTGGTAAGAAAAAAACACTTTCTTTTAGGGCTGTGCAATTAATCGTATTTTAATCTCGATTTTGGCTTGCAACGATTACGAAAACAATGTACCGTAATCGAAATAAAACGATTATTTTTATTAAAAAAAAAATGTAATTTTTTTTTTTTGGTTTTTCTGTTGAATTATACTTAAAGTTCAGGGTAATCAACTGTTAAAAACATACTGTTCAAATTTTTTTTTTCAATATATGGATGTTTTCAAAGTAAATGGATAATCGTTTTTAATAATCGTGATATCAATTATTGACCAAAATAATCGTGATTATGATTTTTGCCATAATCGCACAGCCCTACTTTCTTTATGATATGTGAACAAACCATCCAAACAGGATCTAACTGTGTTTATTTCCAGAGCTACATCCATGGCAGCAGTCAGGCCCAGTTTGTGGCTGAGACTCACATCATCCTCCTCTTCAGTATCCCTCTCTAACTGTTTTACACTCATCATACACTTAATACTGAGCCAGACCCCCGACAAACTAATGTGATTCAAACCCAAAATGACAGCCTTGACCCCTTTGCATTTTGTCTCACCCCTTTAGCTTTGTTGTGTCTTTTTTTTTTTTTTTTTTAAGCCTTTCATTATTTCCCAAATGTGTTGGACAGGGCTCCCTTTCCTCCACATCCTGTTTCTATTGAATATGGTTGTTTGAGTAGACTAATGTTATGCCCCACATGCAGTTGTATTTTAAACCTTGACCAAACTGTCAGATGCTGCTGTTACCATGGGAATGGTGCTGCTGTGTGAGGCCGCCACCTCTGACATGGACATTGGAAAGAGGAAGAGTATGTGCACACAGACCCACAAAGATTATTATGTGTTTCTGTTCCCATTGTTTGTCTTTTTGTCCCCAGTATTTCTGAATAAGTGATGGCCCCATCTTTCTAAACTGAGTGGAAGGGTATGGCATAGGCCAAGAGGAATCCAAACACCCTCCACATTTTGGACCGGATCAGAATCACAGGGCAGATATACATTTTGTTGTGTAATATTGCAAGAGAGGGCATTTGGCCTTGGCAGAGATCTGCCCTCTGAGATCCATTCAGATTCCATCAAGGGACCTTACAAGATGTTGTACACACTACACTAAATATTACAAATGTCCACTAGTTTAATTTCAAACGCACATTATGTAATTGCTGCTTCTCTGACCAACTGAAGAACTGAAGTCTGTGATTTTATTCAAACGTGTGTGTGTGTGTGTTCGGTGTGTGTCAGTCATGTGTGTAGCAGGTATTGGTCTGGTGATGCTGTTCTTCAGCTGGCTGTTGTCCATATTCAGAGCAAAGTACCATGGATATCCATACAGGTAAAGACAGAGGCACTTTAACTGTTGGTCTTGTTTTAGCTGCAGCTATTGGCTGGCGTCCTACCATTTGTCCTGTTGGCTAACTTCATCTTGTTTTTTTATGCAGCTTCCTGATGACTTAGAGCTCAACAATGCCTCCAACTTTAAAGCAAGCATGAACAGGGAGTTCCCCAAAATGCTGTCAACAAGCAGAGTACTGTCCATGGAAATGCCCCTTTTCTGCTGGCTAAGCCATGGCTTGTCTCATATCTGTTGAGCCAAAAGTGTGTGTGTCAACACACACATACACACTGTGCCTTCAAAGACTCACCAAGCAATTAACTTGCCAACAACAGAGCAACAACCAGTATGCATTCTACACTGTGCCAAAAGCTGGTGTCTTTCAGTCTAGGTCCTACTGGACACAAATCTGTCTGCTTCTTATATTTCTGAACTTCCCATGGGAGCCGTTATCAGAGGGTTCTTAGCATTCTGAAAATCTGTAATTTTGGTAACATCTTAGACAGCTCTAGTCCTATGATGGTAATAAATGAAGGTTCAATTGTGACTATTTTCTGTGGTAGTACACATACTTAGTATCCACTCATCAAAAAGCTTTTTATTTAGAAAGAATCAACACATTTAAAGTGTCCCCTTAGAAGCACTTAATCGCATGAACCCATTGAAACTCAGAAACAAAGGTATTTATTGCGGGCAACTTCACTCTCAATATTTATTTTTGTGCCTTAAACTGCCCCGTTACTGGGCTGTAGGATGACATGTCCTGAAGAAAGAACTAATAATAAAGTCGTGATTTGTATAACTCTTAAGCCAGTCTGCATTCATTAGTAATCCCACTCAGTGGTGGTCAGTTTATAACAAGTTAAAGGATGCAATGACCTGAGCTAAAGGAATATCTGTTTGGGGGGGAAAAAGACCATCTATCTATATATCAAATAAACGACCACCACCTGGTGGATACACAATTAAATGAAATTGCCCGTTCTATGTTTTTTTAATCAAACACTCAGGGTTTGCTATGAACCATTTTGTAATCCAGTAGTTGAAAGTAGAAGTAGGTTAAGGGATGAGAGTTTTATAAAGTGTACCCCCACCCCAATTCATCTTCAAATAGCCAACTAAGAAATAGCAGTTTGGAGGAGAAAACGGTTGAGTGGAAAACTTCTTCTCTTTTCCAATTAAATCACATCTATGAGTACACTGACTAACTCATGTTTGGATTAATGAAGTAACTTGAGAATAAATCTGGTTCACATATTTTCTTTTCAGCTGTAATAGGTATAGTGAACTGTTAAAATGGAAAAAGGTACAGGTGGCAACTTAACTACTTTCTCTTAATGTTGTCACTTAAGATGAAGCAAGAACAGCCTTCACTGGGAGTGGGATTGTAGACAAACTCATTCAAAAGGATACCCAGAAGTACAAATCATGTTGTGTAAAACAAAGTGCTTTGAATGTTTGTGGTTACTTAAGGTGATTTCTTCTAATATTAAAGTGCCTTAACTGACTTGGTGTTTGCCTGTTCTTCTTTCTTTTAATTTGTGGTAGAATTATACTGAGCATTTGACCAAAAGCACACAAAGGAACCATATCTCCTGGCAAGACATATTATTGTATTTATTATCAATGACATATAATTCAAGATTCAAGCTTAAAAGATTCAAATGTTTTAATGTCATATGCACATAAGCTACAGTGTAGAAATGGCAATGCAAACCTTATGACCGGAGCTAATCATAATATCTATGATTTAAATATTTCAACAACACTATGCTGACTTCTGTGACCACCACTGATCTGATGGCTTCTTTGTAATGTATTATTTTAGTCTACTATGAATATTCTGCTGAAGTATATTTGACATATTATATTGTTTAACAGAGGTGGGAGAAGTACTCGGATCTTGTACAGTAAAATTATAAGTATGTGTAATAATCTGTTACAAACATTCCTGCATTCAAAAGGTCACTCAAGTAAAAGTACAAAAGTATTAGCATCAAATATACTTGAAGTACCAAAAGTACTGATTATGCAGATTGGTCCATTTCAGAATAATATGATATGTTTTATAATGATGAAATGATGAAAGCTGGTAAAGGTGCAGCTAGTTTGAATGACTTTGTATACTGCAGGGTAGCTTGTGAATTTACTCCAGGTGGAACTAAAGTCTGATTTAACACTTGATTATATTTCACATCATTAATCCAAATCTGTAAAGTAACTAAAGCTATTAAATAAATGTAGTGGAGTCAAATTACACCATTTACCTCTGAATTGTAGTGGGGTACTTAATTACAGTAGCCTACTTGAGTGATGTACTTTTACTTCCCACCTCTGTTGTTTGAGAGAAGATGTAGTTGGAGCTTCCAGGTTGTTCGAAGGTTTGGCCGGTGGTGGGCAGTATTTGCTAAAACACTGAAGAAAATAATCGAAGAAGAGAGCTGGAGTAAGAGACAAGATGGCGGACTCTGAAAACAACAACGATGCTTCCACCGCAGAACCTTCTAAACTATGTGATCTCTTAGAGCGGGGCTGGAAGATATTTGATGAGGTAGATAGTACAAATGAACCGCTTGCCTCTTCTAGTATCCAGGTTCGAGTTAAACGCGGTATCGGTATGTTGGAAGAGGCGTCTACAATGGTGGCTCAGCTCGACCTGTTCAGCTGCAATGAGGAGCTGGAGGAGGTGGCCACGGCCGACCTGAGGTACCTGCTGCTTCCAGCGCTGTGCGGGGCGCTCAGCCTGAAGCAGAGCGGCCGGGACCGACGGCTGGAGATAGTCCAAACAGCACGCAACTACTTCATGGATTTCTTGAAGAGATGCCATGAGTATAATCTGTCACGGTTTGAACTTCCGACTGCGAATGAAAACTCGAGTCCTTGCGAAGCATCAGAAAACGAATCCCCTGCGGCTCCGGTAACGTTAAATTGCTTATTATATACGTACACTAGCATTAATGACAGTAAATAGCGTTTTACATACGTGTGTGTGTGTGTTCAAATTCAAATATACCATTGGATCAATTAGCAGGAGGGTGTGTCCCAGTTTAAAGTGTAAGTATAAACTGAGGGGTTAGCACTGTGCTTTATTCTAAATTAATTTATAAAAAGTTTCGTATTTGCATAATTTCCGGATCTACTTGACTTGGTCCTTGTTGGTTTTCCATTGGCGAAAGTTGCGGCTTCTACCTGCAGGCCTACTCATACATATTCTGTACTATCCTCTATGGAAAAGAGACAGTACCTGGTACTTAAGGTAATTTCTAGTCGAGCTGAACAATGCAGTGGAAAGCAGTAATTGCACAGTTGGAAAATGAGTAAGTTCTGAATTGTAAAGTGTGGTTCTTGTTCCAGTCTGTCCCTTGCCAGCCAGACCTTGTTTCCATGGCAGTACGGAGACAAGCTAAGATCGAGCGCTACCGTCAGAGGAAGGATCTGGAAGCCAGACTGACGGATGTACGCAGAGCTGTGGACAGCGGACAGGCCGACGATGAAGTCACCAGAGATTTTTACCTTCTTAACGTTCAGAGATGGGTCACTGTGTGTCTGGAGGAAATAGAGAGCATTGACCAGGAGGTGGAGATACTCCAGAAGATGGATGGTCTGAAGCAGGGTGCTGCCAAGCAGCCAGCTCAGCCCGCCAGGCCCCCCATGAAGCCTTTCATACTCACCAAGGACATGGTGCAGGTGAGCCTGTGTATGAGAGGCTGTTGTGTGGGTACTCAACTAGGTATTCACTGAAAAAACTACAGAGAAAAGCTGCTGGGGAATGCAGAAGTAGCAAATAACAGACAGCTAGAACGATACATTAGCTTGTCTGAAATCTGTCAACCAATATAGGCTTAATGCTAAATTATCAAAGTGCATGTCTGTCTGCAGGTAACAAGAATTTGCTGGACAGAAATGCTATACTTGGTTTGAAGTCATTTCAGAGATGTTAGCAGAGGGCTCCTGATCCAGGGAGCCCTGCTTCACCATCGCATAGTTTGTCCACAGTGGAGCACACTCAGTATCTTCAAAACTATAATGAAAAAGACAAACAAATCTGCTTATTGTATTAAAGCTCCTAGGGAGTTTCATTTTGCAACCTTTCCATCCAACAGAGTTCTTCTTAAGGGACACGTGTTGCAAAATGAAAACTGCTGTGAGCTTGTAACACAGTGTGCGGATCAGTGTTGTGCCTTTTATCTGTTGGTCTGCTCTTACACAGCTAGGGCTACACAATCATGAACATTTAGTTGACAATGAATTGTGGTTACAATGTCAATGCAACTATTATATTGTAAGCATAATAATGTATTTTAATTTGAACAACTAAAAGCCTGGTCTTGAATAATGGCCGGTGGCATGGTTACTACACACAAGTACAAGTGAGGCATAAACTCCATTGGTTGACTTATTGATCTAATAAGTTAGTAGCTACTAGGAAAAGAGAAAAGCAGAATCGTCCAAAGGGAAGCAGGGAGGGAACTGAAGTGATAAATGAAGGTGCCAACTTCATGTTGTAGTTCCATTAACGTGCTCTGCAACATTGTGTGATTCCATGTGTTTGTTCCATTCCCAGGCTAAGGTGTTCGGGGCAGGTTACCCCAGCCTCGCCACCATGTCAGTGGATGAGTGGTATGATCAGCACAAGAAACGAGGGGGTCTCCCCGACCAGGGAATACCCAGGAGGGTTGATACGGAGGAGGACACTGATGCGAAGGAGAGAGAAGAAGAAGATAAAGAGAAAAAGGCTGAAAATGATGATGAGGAGTCACGGCTGAAAACCAGAAACTGGGATGATTACAAAGAAAGTCACCGCAGAGGTTATGGAAACCGCCACAACATGGGCTGACCAATCGGGTTCCTCTTTTCTGCTCTATTCGGTCCAGGTAGTGAACATCCTTCACAGTTCGGATCCTTAAGACTGATTGAATGAGAAGGTGATCACAGCATTGTAAATTATTTTCTAAATGCTACAGCTGATTAACTGATGTTTATCATCTACATGTTGCCAGTCTTTTACAAGGCTGGATTAAAAGCCCCTCTGTGGTATGATGTGTTACAGTGAGTCTTAATTATAATCTACATTTTGGCTGGACTGAATCAAACCCAACTATGATGCCAATGTTTCTGCTTGTGGTGTGTATATCCTAACACTTTCTTTGTAAAATAAAGACACTGAAGAAACTATGTAGGTCTAAAATCAGTGTAGAGGATCTGTTGGAAATTAAAACACAGCTACCAAAACCTAGGTCTATTTTAGTAACAAATTATGACTAATCTGATTTTAACTTATTTTTCTCAATTTGCTTGAAATGTGTGCATTAAATAATTTCATTCCATCCATAGTTGAGTATTCACATCAGGTTTAAGATCTCAGAAACATACATTTTTATTTAAGTAAGGAACAACAGTTGTTGTAAAGATAATCCATGTGTTTTTGAAGTTTGACCTCACAGCTGCACCACCCATATGCAGACATGGCATAGCTCATATACTGGAGCACATATGGTCTATGACAACATACTCTTCAACATCAGAGAAGGAGGTGTGCTGATTGGAAGAACAGATCACCGGCCACCCTGTCACACGCCAGGCCAAAACCATGGAGGGCGGGAGGAGAGATCTGCTAACCCAGCTGGGACCTCAGGCCATTCCACTTTCCAGCATGCTCCTGGCTGATGAGAGTAAAACCCAGGCTAACCCTGAACAGGACCATGTGGCCAGAGGCTCCCCGGTTGGCTCCTGCTCTGTGGGGTGGAGCGCTGCAGGACTCTTTCGTATCATTATAGATGCTTGGGGCTCACATGCCCAGCCGTATCATCCGCCGAGAGTTTGGATTTTTTTTGTTTACATTCTTCCTGATGCACATTCAAAATTGCCAACCTGACATAACAGTGTAGCTGTGTGTCCTTTTTTTTTTACTGTCAGTAATTTGTGTATTATTATACGTTTCTGAACAAATGCAAGTGTTTGGGTCATTTTAGAACCGGTAGGCTAAGGGGGAATTCTTTTGAGCTGACTTTACTTTTTTTGATAGCTAATGCAGCTATTTTCAGATCATTGTTAAGAAATGATAATTAAAAAAAAGTGGTGGGGACATCTCCCTAGCACTCCCAATGTGAATGACACATATGCTTTTTTTTTTTTTATCCATAGCCTAATGTGTCATATTCTTATCTCTCATGTCTATTGTATTTATTTTTTGAGAGTTTCCTATACACATTGTTTGATTTCATAATAGTTTTCATAACATTTATCTAGTCAAGTTCACAAGGTACACACCCAGATGTTGACACAAAGTTGAAGCACACAGTTGTCTAAAATATTCCTGTGCATTGTTTCAGTGTGAGAACGGCCCCAGCTGTCATACAGTATCTATGATTTCTGCTATGCAAGTAGCTGCGTCCCTTTTATAATAGATGTTACCGAGACAAAGTGATAAGGTGAAAATTATCTCTTCTGACCTAATCCACAGCAAAGTTAAATCACACAGCAGATAATTTAACCAAACGACTGCCCATAATTAAATTTAAAACCGATTTACATTAAGCTAATCCACATAAATCTGCTATATTTTGGGGGGGAAAAGTCAGCACTGAGGCAGAAATTGACTAACAAGAGGTAACACTAACCCAATTTGTCTGGGCAATTAAGATGTGAATGTATATTATCAGAGCCATGGCCTGCTGTACTGCAGATGGATTGTAGCTGTAATGATCTGCTACAGTCTGCTCTAAAAGGATAACATATCTAGAAAAAAAACATTAGCCTACTAGATTTTCATAAAATAAAAGCTAAATATTGTAGCTATGTTTCTATTAACATATATATTGCTAATATTTTGAAAATAATTACTTGTGTTCCCATAACCACCAAACCTCGATTGACCGTGTATCACTCTAATCCTTGGACCCATTGTCAGAGCCTACGCTGGTGCACTACAACGCACGGCCTCATTTTGCGAGAGTATGCAGGCAGTTCTAGGAGGATGAAGGAATTGATACCATCGACTGTACCCCTCGCTCGCCTGACCTAATTCCAATAGAACACCTCTGGGACATTATGTTTCGGTCCATCCGATGCCTGCCAGGTTGCACCTCAGACTGTCCAGGAGCTCAGTGATGCCCTGGTCCAGATCTGGGAGGCGATACCCCACGACACCATCCGTCGTCTCATAGGAGCATGGTGGGGGCGCATTATTTTTCCACTTTGATTTTCGGGGTGTCATTGAATTCATCCCAGATGATAATTTTAATTTCCATCAAATGATGTGGCATTCTTTTGTTCCTAACACATTACCCAGTCCAAATCAGTAGATATCCAGCATCATTTATTTTCCCATTGAGATCTGATGTGTTTTCAAAGTGTTCCTTTCATTTGTTTTAGCAGTAGGGCCCCAGTGTATAAATATAGTCTTTGTAATGTTATGATTCATTGATTATTCATTATTAATCTTTGATTTTTCTTGTTAAATCATGTGAAAATAATTTGTCAAGCTGCTTGTTGGATATGCTTGTCCTTAACCTTGGACATGTGAAGGAGGCCCTCAAAGATTCTGAAATGAAGAGCTGTGGATGCATTGAGGAACTTTTGGTTTCACATTGGGGGAAATTCCTATTTGATTCCTGATGTGTATTGTGAAGAATAATATTTTATTTTGGCATCTTATGCAACAACTAGGTACATTTAAGGAAAATTGGAATAATAAATAGAAGGCTAGATGTCATCTTCATATCACTGATGAATGCAACAACAACAAAAGGCTATCTAACACAAATACAAAGGACCCCAGTGTATAAATACATACTGTATATCATTTATCATTCATTTAAGATTAATCTTTGATTTATCCAATCTAATAATTGAACATTTTCATTTAAAGGTCTCCTATTATACTATTTTTAGGCATATATAATAGTTCTCAAATATATGAAAATGTATAAAAAACATGTCTATGAAGTGTTATGCTCAAAATACCAAACAGATCACCCATTCTAGTCATGACTCATACTCCTCTATTTCAGCCCTGTTATGGTGCGTTCACACCGGACGCAATGCGATTTTTGGGGGCGGCACGATTACATGTAAAGTCAATGCAGAGATGCGGACAGACGCGAATTTGCTCCGACGGTGCACACGAAGTGGTTGATGCGAATGCTGCGGCGGGATTGAGGCGATTGGAGGGGGCCGCGACAACCGCTCGAGTTCAATTTTTTCTACTTGAGCGTCAAATTCGCGTGACGCGATCTCGCGGTAGCCAATTAGCGATGAGGATCTCAGTCTGCCGTCACTGACGTTGAACCAGAAAACCAAAACATCAGCCGTTAGCTGTTAGCACTCAGAGCTCACTGCTCCTCATATCTGTTCAGAAACTAGACAAAAGTTAAACAAGTACAAACCACAGACTCTCTGTGTCATGGCGAATACAGTCGCTGGTTTATTTATGTCTGTATGCCGTTATTGTGACTGTGGACGGAGCATATACAATGTTAGTTTAGCCTGATCGATCCGATCTCCATTCAGAAAACACGCATTTTAAAAGGTTTTTCGCATGCCGTCTTGTCTGCAGACTTGTCAAAGCATGTGTGAACGCAGCATTAGAGAAGAGCTGATTCTGGGTCCTTAGCTTTTAAAAAAAAAAAGCTTATGCCTGCTCAGAATTCTACCGAGATACTCAGCTAAATGCTGTCTTGATGAAACGCCGTATCATGTTCAAAACCACATCAAAGATTATTTCATAAACAGTATGGAGCTCAAATGCTTTTTCTCTCGCGGGTGAGTTCCTGTTTTTATTTCCTGCTTTTTTACACATACTCTCTCCAGTACAGGATAGCTCTGAGTGTTAGCGATGCTTGCTAATGTAAACAAAGACCATATTACGTCCAAAACAGTAGGGCATTGTTTCTGATAGGGCCGTGGGTCTAAAGCCAACCCACATTTCCGATATTACGTCATATCGGCAGCAAATCTGGATCAGCTCCGTTGTACCCCCGTTTTTAGAAATTTGGGTACGGAGGAAAAGAGAGAGGGTTTTGTTTTCTGACACTTTGTGAGTTCCCTGACACACCGGGGACACATATTTATGTATAAAAGACATACAAAAGTTCATTTTGCATGATAGGAGACCTTTAAATCATGTGAAAATATTATGCCAAGAAACCTGATAGCTCATGGGATCACAGTATCTACACGTATCCACTGTGTTATTCAAAGATTATGTAAAATACAAACAAAAACTGTGTTTGGAATGGAAAATATATATAAAGCATAAATATAATAACCCATAGGCCCCATTCTGACGGCCATTTTGGCTGCACTGGTTAGCTGTTAGAGCAACACACTCACTCCATAAAGGTCCAGGAGCGACGCTTGGTCAGGGTCCCGAGGCGTGCAGTTGGGACGCTCCTAGGCTCCTTCAGCTTCATAAACAGACGCAAATAGCTTTCAACTGATTGCAATGTATTCCCATCTGCGGCGGGATTTGACGCTCATGGAAGCACGGCATTCGTTTGTGTCGGAGGCTGTTAAAGGCAATGTGAGCGTCCATTCCCATTGGATAACGGAGAATTGTACACCCGGAAGTAAGTATTCTCCTTACTGTCGATTGATTTGACAGTGATATCTCCACTACTCATCAACTCAAAAACACCAGATTATCCTTGTTAATTAAACGACATTGATAGGTTTTAGTGTGTGTACAATGCTTTTGTCAAGTTTTCTATGAGTTATGGATGGCCGAAGACATTACATTACCCACAATCCTCTGTAGCAACCATAGACTGTATATTGCAACAGGCAACAGCTTCGGTTCATGTTAATTTACAAACTCTTCAACTACAACCGTAGTTATATTTAAAAACATGTTAGAAGGCCTCTGGAAGTTTTTCCTTGTACGATGTGAGGGTCAAAGGACAGATGATGCCGTTTTTCTCATACTGATATTCCTCTATGCACGCTGGGATTTGGTGTTTATGCGATGTGAAATCCGAAAACATTAAAAAAAAAAAAAAAAAAACATTATTCCGAGTGTGCTTGCTTTTCTCTTTGAAAGTCATCACATAACGGCATTGTAATACACGTTTCGGCTGCATTAAATATTACATATCTGCCGTAGTTAACTAATTTATAGAGCCCTGATGAGAACACTGCCGCCAAAACTGAAAACTTGACGTGGATCTTAAATATATAAGCAATTAAACAACATCTTACATTTCTTTTCACACAATACGTCTCCTTGCAGTATCAACACTAATTCGGCTGACTTTTATATTTGATCCAATTGGTAGATAGGCTGTATTTACGCCATAACGGTGCACAGCTGATAGAAAGGGACACCTACTGGTTAAAGCACGTTATTGCATTTTATAATTGTATTATTAGATATTAATAGGAGGATGTGCAAAACAGACAAACTAATAAGGCTTAATTTAAACATTAAAGAATACTTTAGGTTAAGGTCTTCTTTTGAATAAGAAAAAAGCTTTGGGGGTATAGAAGATGAATATGGAGGGATGAAACCCTCTTTGATGGTCACACATGCAGAGCACACAGCACACACAGTGACATTTGTATCTACAGATAAATATTAAGCCTGACAAAGTACTTAACGTCTAATATATTGCTTTCCTGCAATGTTAACTATGTTTAAGCACTTATTTTAACTGATATTATACATATGTATTATACTCTTATAAGATGTATGTAGATAGTATAAGAAATGTGCAGAATATGACAATGTAATGGTGGAGGTACACACATATTGATAGATGTCTTGTAATGCACTGTTGAGGAACCTGCGACCCAAGTTTTTCATTCATTGCATAACTACACTGTAGTTGTGTATAATATGATATGTCAATAAACCTTAGAAAATCATGAAATCTTGAATGGGATGTGCAAAATAGTCATTATATACAGTCTTTAATTAACTATTAGTAGAGAATAACGACGAGTAAAGAATATACTTTATAGGGATCCTATTAATATCTAATAATTATGACATAAATACAGCCGATCTACCAATTGGATCAAATATAAAAGTCAGTCGAATTAGTGTTGATACTGCAAGGAGACGTATTGTGTGAAAAGAAATGTAAGATGTTGTTTAATTGCTTATATATTTAAGATC